TCTGAGTTGAAGGTTAGCCTGGCCTATAAAGTAAGATCCTGTTTCAATAAATAAATCCTCAGTCACTAAATGTAAGACAGAAAGAGGAAATCAACACAGGCAATACCACTGAAATGATTATTAGTAAGAACCATCAAGAGGATCATATCTAGCTGTCCAATTTGGACACATATCCAAAAGCCGGATCTCAGACCTTTGCACACCAGTGTCTCCATAAAGTTATTCACAAAAAACAAGAGATGGAAGCAATCCAAACATCCAATGAATCACGTGGATAAAAAAGTATGGGATACTATGCAATGGAACATTAGGCCAGGCCTCACAAGAAGAAATCTTGTCACATGCTACAATATGAATGGACAAAGAAGATCTTAAGTTAAGTGAAGCGAGATGATTGCACTTATATTCGATAATTAGGGTGATCAAACTCCCTATTAAAAATAAGGAAAAAGTCTGCTGGATGTGGTGGTGCACTCTCCTGATCTCGGTACTGGGAGGCAAGAGGAGCTTAGTCAAGGCCAGCCTGGTCTATAGAGCTAGATCTGGGAATGCTAAGAAAATTAGAAAATTAGAGCCTATAATGCCAAAAAAGGAAATAATTTACAATTTATGTATTTACAATTTCAATAACAAAAATAAAAACTATCTAAACATGAATAGCATCTGTTCCAGTAAATGAAAAGGCACCAGATATAATTCTATGTATATTTTATATTTGTTAAGGTACTATTTCTTTTTTTTTTTCCAGTGCTAAAGACTGAACCCAGTCTCTCATGCATGCAAAGAACCGACCTATACCCCAGCCCTGGCAGAACACTATGGAAAAAATTAATATGCACACATTTCCATAAAGACTGGAAGGGAACCAGCAGAGATGAAAACACTGACATTTTCAGATTTGAAGTCCCAGGTGATTTTTATTTTCTTTATCACTAAAGTATCATATAATTAAGCAGGATGGGGATGCACGCCTTTAATGCTAGTACTTGGGAGGAAGAGGAAGGCGGATCTCTGTGAGTTCAAGGGCAGCCTGGTCTAGAGTGAGGTCCAGGACAGTCAGGGCTACACAGAAACCCTATCTCAAAAACCAAACTAACAAAAATTGTATGACTTAAAAAGAATTAAGAAACTAAAATCCTTTAAAGAGGCTCCAACATGGTCTACTAAATCCACGTAAAACCTGAGAAAGCTTAAAAAGGAATTCTAGACACACACACACAAAAAAAAAAAAAATTAAGAATTTTCTCGGGTGGACTCTGCTTGCTAAAAGCAAGCAGAGGCACGATTCTTTTAAGAGAAAGTTTCCTGACTCAGTGGTAGCAGCAAAAACTGTGCAGTTTCAAAACAGTGGCTTCCTGGTTCCTCAGAGCAAATGGCTCTGACTCTTTCGGGAGGTTCGACAACAGAACACTTGAATGGGGTTTGTAGGCTCAGGTGATTGTATGCACGCTTGGGGTTAGGAGGAAAGTAGTCAGGCAGTGGGATCAGGTCTGCTAGGATTGCACAGGCAGGAGAGTATGGTGGATTCCCACCACCATACACTTCTAGAAATATTCCAGGCCGTGCACTGTGCTACATGGCAGATTTAGCTTTTACTCAGATAAAAAGGGTTTATATGCTGCACACTGCTTCCCAGAGTTGAGATGGTGAGGATGGCTCCCACTCGGCAGTCTCAGAGGCAGTGAACCATATTAGTCTGGGCGGAGCAAGCAGGCAGGGCCATGTTTGCCCTAGGAATGCCCTCGTTTAGGTTTTTAAGAAGCACTTAGCATTTTAAGAAGCTGTCCTAGTCAGAAAAATATTACAGATAAGCAATAAGGACAGATTCAGACATAAAAAGCCTCTAAATAAGACACAGTATATATTTTTTTTAAGTATGTAGGCTTGGGAGAGAGAAGAAAAAGAGTATTAAGAGTTATAAAAAGAAGTACATATTTAAAAAAAAAATAAAACAGTCTTTAAAGAGACAGAGTACAGACAATCATAGATTAAAGGAGTAAAGACAATAAAATTAATAATAAAAAGTAATAGACTAAAAACAAGCCACATAAAGATGGAATATACATAGAGTCTGGCTTATGTATATTATCGTGTTTTCTTTTAATTATTTGGCTGTGAAGGAACTAAGTACAAAGAGACACTTCATTGTATGGGCTGCTAAAGATAAATCAACATAAAGGTATCTTGACTTCAAAATTTGGGTCTAAGGATTTGTTGCTTTGGAAAAGAGGTTCTGCTTTTGTTTCCACAGAATATGAGAACCTGTGTATTAATACTAGACTAATGTGGTTTGACACCCCTTGCAAAGGCTGCCATGAACATCTACCAAAAATACTTCACCCAACAAAAAGCAGGAAGCAGTTTGGAGAGAACTACACCCAAATTCCCAAATACTGTTTATAAATGTTGGTTTATATTTAAAGAGGGATATGCTATAGAGATTTACATTGGTATAAATCTTGGTTTATTGATACAAATTTAAGGTCATTTTGTTATATGTACATTTCTGCTCTTGATTAAGGTATTGTGTTTGTACAGCTCATTTAAAAATTATGCACAATTTTTAAAGTATAAGTGTAAAATTAAATATAAATACATTAAAATTAAATTACATATAAATTAAAATGTAATGTATAATTAAGAAATATAAGTTAAGTGGAGACAGAGTGGGCTCTCTTTTTGTGGTGGTGGCCAGTTTGCTGAAAATGAACTCTGCTTGAAGGTATACTGCACTCCTTGATTAATACATTCCAAGGCTCACCAAACTAGAGAAATACATTGAAGTGACTGTGACTCTGAATTAGACCAGACTGCTGGAGGCAGGAAAGCTGGCTGTAAAGTGTCAATAATGGGCAGGCAGGTGGAATGTCATTCTTTACAACTGCAGTTCTAAAACAGCTCGTGTATTCATCCATGGAATTGCTACCAAGTGTCTCACAGACAGACTTCGGATCAATCTGTAAGGAACTGACATCAGAGGTGACTGCTTTGAAACTGATAAAGCAAGTTGCTCAACAATGGAACATTTCTCTTTTAGTAAAAAATTAATTAATTAATAAAAAGAAATATAAGTTAATAGATAATCACTTATAATAGTCAACTTTCTAGTCATGATAGTTAGGTTTTCTTTTTTTTTTTGTTTTTTTTGTTTTTTTTAAGATTTATTTATTATGTATACAGTATTCTCAGTACTCTGCCTGCAGGCCAGAAGAGGGCACCAGATCTCATTCCAGATGGTTGTGAGCCACCATGTGGTTGCTGGGAATTGAACTCAGGACCTTTGGAAGAGCAGGTGGTGCTCTTAACCACTGAGCCATCTCTCCAGCCCCCGATAGTTAGGTTTTCTAGAAATATAGAGATATACTTCAGTTAGATATTCTTCAAATCTTTCAGAGACCTTCAGAATGTGGCATTTAAAATGTTTTAATAACTTAGGACTTTTCATGACATGAGACACATCTGCTCCTGGCAGCACCAATTACTTCAACAGGATGATGGGCATCGAAGAGGATACTTATAGAGTTTGTTAGCCATTTGGTCAAGAAACTGTTCTTGCCGGGACTGCTTGATGTTATGCTGTATGAACTGGAAATGCAGGACCCACAGAGACATGACTACTAAACTTGCCTAAAGGTGAGACGATTCTTCGGGGTTCCTGCTACACAAAAAAGTCTGTCAGACATTCTGCAGGACACAGAAGAAAGTAACTGATGGACGTTGGCATTACAAGGCAGAACAGATCTTCAAATTTCCTGCTTCATGCAAAAGTCTGCTAGATACTATAGCTCTGTATGCTGAAGATGGATGCCCCAATGATACAGAAGAAGTTTGGGTGACTGTCCAGGCAGCACGATGTCTCTGTCAACTATAGAGTTTTAGAAGTTGCTGACAATGCACTTCCTGTTTACTTAGGTAATATGATATCCTTCTAGAGTCTTTGCTAAGAGTTGAAAAATAGATATAGTTTTCTTTAGTTACGATAAAAGATAAAGTAGATATAAATATTGCAACTGTAATTCTTGCTTGATACCTGTTTTGTTATATGTAATTTTACTATGTTAAAGTAAAAACCTTCTTTTTTATTTAAACAGAAGAGAGGAAATGATGTGGAAAGTCCTTCTGTATATGTGTTGCTTTAACTGGTTAATAAAGAAACTGCCTCGGCCTGTTGATAGGGCAGAGTAGAACTAAGTGGGAAAAACTAAACTGAATGCTGGGAGAAAGAAGGTGGAGTGAAGGAGGAGCCATGGAGCTGCCAGCTGGAACCTTGTCGGTAGGCCACAAGCCTCATGGTAAAATAAAAACTAATAGAAATAGGTTAATTTAAATAAATTAAAAAAAAAAGAAATAGGTTAATTTAAGATATGAGTTAGCCAGAAAGACACTTAAGCTATTGGCTAAACATTATTGCAAATAATAAAGTTTCTATGTGGTTATTTTGGGGCTGAGCAGCCGGGAACTAATTGGTGGTCTCATACAACAGTCCAGGGTTCAAGACATCACAACAAACCATCTGTCAAAGGTAAACTAAGGCCTTAAATAACCGTGCCTTGGACTTTAAGTTCATAAAGAAAAAGAAGTATGAGAGCTGGAGAGATGGCTCAGTAGTTAAGAGCACTGACTACTCTTCTAGAGGTCCTGAGTTTAATTCCCAGCAACCACATGGTGACTCACAACCATCTGTCATTAGATCTGATGTCCTCTTCTGGTGTGCAGGCACACATAATAAATAAATAAATTCTAAAAAACAAAGAAAGAAAAAGAGAAAAAAAAGAAAAGGAAATATTTTGTCACCCAAAGAAAAGTAGCATAAAATAACTCTACAATGAATAACTGGAAAAGGTCCCTAACAGTAAAAAAACCATCAGGCTGTGACATGGTATCCCAAGCTAAGTTCTTGAACCAACACCATAGAGACCCAGAGGGGTCTCACGGGCTTTTCCATCAGTGTGGTTTGCACATAAATAAGGTTTCATACCAACCAAAAGAACAAACTTTACCTGGGAAGTGCTGGAGAGAGTCCTGTCCCACTGTCTTGGGGTAGGAGATACTGATACCAGGTGGCTGCATATTGGAACCCACTGGGAGATGCTAGTCTGGTTCCTCTAGAAAAGAAAAATGCTATCAGGAATCGTGGAATACACCTAGGTGGAGAATCTTCTAAGGCCAGTCAGACTGACATAGGAAATTCCAGGCCAACCTGGGCTACATAGTGAGACCTTTTTCTCAAAAGGGTTCGGGGAGAAGAAATACATATTCCGCCTTCAAGTTTGGGTCCTAGCAAGAGCTCCTAAACCTCCTGGGATTCAGATATGAGTGTCTTGTCCTTCCTAACAAGTACTTTCAAACTTTATGCCGATGACTTGACTCTAAGGACAGGACTGGTTGGGTGAAGAAACCAATCTCTTAAAGCTTACAATTGCCAGAGTGCCACTGAGTAAGCTAAGTATATTGTTACTATCCTATTCATACAAAAAAAAAATGTGTATCAACAACTCCCCCAATGTTACCAAGTTAATAAATGACAGCTTTAGTATTAATACTGGAACCCAGGTAGCTACCTCCAGAACCCATGCACATTTTTTTAAAGATTTATTTATTTATTATGTATACAACATTCTGCCTCCATGTATGCCCACATGCCAGAAGAGGGCACCGGATCTCATTACAGATGGTTGTGAGCCACTATGCGGTTGCTGGGAATTGAACTCACAACCTCTGGAAGAACAGCCAGTGCTCTTAACCACTGAGCCATCTCTCCAGCCCCAACCCAGGCACATTTAAGAAACCAAAAGAGAACAGTTTACCTTGAAGTCCTTCTAATTCAAATCTGGAGGTAGAACTATTAGTAAAGTTTCAAACCAATTAAAACAGCATATTGGGGGTGAGGGGGTACTGGGGTGGCACTAAAGAGACAATTCAGTGGTTCAGAGCACTGGGTGTTCAAACACTTCTAGGGGTCGATTCTCAGCACCCACATGGTGGCTCAGAACAGCCTGTAACTCCAGTTCCAGGAGATCTAATGCCCTCTTCTGGCCTCTGCTGGCACTTGTACTCCCCCATGTACTTACACATGAATATTTAAAAAAAAAATCTTAAAAAAATATATCATATTTGAGCTGGCACTATGACTTGCTGCCATGCCTCCTGAGTGGGGTACCCTAGCCCCTTTGGCGGAAGCAGAGCTAACCCCTTTGAGTACTCTTCTGACCTCTCCACCATGGTGTGCATGCTCACAAACATGAAATTAAGCACGTAAGCAAATAAATATAATAAGGTCTAGAGTCATCCTTTAAAAAATTAAAATTAGCCGGGTGATGGTGGCGCACGCCTTTAATCCCAGCACTCAGGAGGCAGAGGCTGGGGATCTCTGTGAGTTCGAGGCCAGCCTGGTCTACAAGAGCTAGTTCCAGGACAGGCTCCAGAGCGACAGAAAAACCCTGTCTTGAAAAAACAAAACAAAAAAAAAATTAAAATAAATTTAAAAAAGGCAGGCATTGATGGTACATGTCTTTAATCCCAGCACTAAGGCAGCAAAGGCAGGCAGATCTCTGTGAGTTCAAGCCTGGTCTACAGAGTGAGTTCCAGGACAGCTAGAGCTACACAGAGAAATCCTGTCTTGAAAAACAATAAAGAATGTGTAAACTACAAACAGAACTTCCAAAAACTATTCCTTCAGAATAAAATGAAAGGATGCTAAATGGGCTGACAAGCTGGCTTAATGGTTAGAAGCACTTGTTCTTGCAGAGAAACTGGGTTCAGTTCCCAGCGCTCACATGGCAGCTCATGGCTGGCTGTAATTCTGGTCCCAGACTTCCACTCCTAGCACCATATAAACCAGACATAGTGGAGCACGCCTATAATCCCAGCACTGGAGAGGCGAAGGAGGATCTGAGTTGTAGGTTATACCCAAGTTCAAGTTCAGCCTGAGGCACTTAAGACACTGTCTCAAAAGAGAAGAAATCATCACCATAGAAACATAGTTCTTATTAATTCTTGACCAAATCTAACAAAATCACTAATTTTAAAAATTTGGGGCCAGTGAGATGACTCACTGGGAAAGGGCAACCAGAAGGCCTGAATTTTAGCCCCGGGACACACAAGTTAGGAGACAACACCCACAGTTGTCATTTGACCTCCCCCTCCAGGGCAGCGTGAGTGCAGTCACACACACACACAAATAAATCAGACCTCTGAGGTCAAGGTTAACCTAGTTTAAAGGGCAAGTTGTAGCCAAACCTACACAGAGAAACTCTGTCTCGAAAAACCAAAAAAGGGAACAGAGGAAGGAAGGAAGGAAGGAAGGGAGGGAGGGAGGGAGGGAGGAAAGAAAGAGAAAGAGAAAAGAGAAAAAAAAGAAAAAGAAAATCTGAGGCACCAGGCAGTGGTGGCACACGAATATAATCCTAGTACTCAGGAGGCAGAGGCAGGAGGATCGCTAAGATCAAGGCCAGCCTGGTCTACAGAACAAGTTCCAGGACGGCCAAAGCTACACACACACACACACACACACACACACACACACACGACTCAAAAAAAAAAAAAAACAAGAATGAAAATCTGAGGCTCAGAGAAGTCAGATGCTTACTCAAGATTCCGCCTATTGCAGGTGGTGGAACCAAAACTCCCCTGCTACTTTCCAGATCCTTAAGAGGTTCACTTGTGCGGATTTGTGAAGGCCTTTCCAATTGCAGTGCCCAAGCCAAATCCCCCACCCAACCCTGTGAGCAATAAACACCTACTACAGATTTCCACTTTGAACTAGCCCTAGGAGAATTATCATAGTGCATCAAGCTCTGTTACAATGTACAAGAAAACCTAAAGAGATTTTCTTTTGTTTTTGTTTGTTTTGTTTTTCAAGACAGGATTTCTCTGTGTAACAGTCCTGGCTGTCCTGAAACTTGCTTTGTAGTTCAAGCCTGCACCTGCCTCTGCCTCCCAAGTGCTGTGATTAAAGGTGGGCACCACCACAGCCTGGCTCTAAAGAGATCTTCTTTATTTAACATTGCATTTTTGTTCCAAGAAAGATAAATAGGAAATAAAGAAGCCCAACTAATAGAGGGCAGTTGAGAGGTGGGTTTTGTGGATGCTGTTAACAAAGAAGAAATGAGCCTGTAATAATTCCTATGCTCAGGAACAAGAAATTTAAGAGAGCTGGGCACAAATTTCCAAGGCAAATCAAGGTGTACATTTCAGGTCTCCAGCCCAATAAATTTTTGTTTTCTATTTCCCCAAATTATCTGTCTCCAAAACTAATTTAGGGCTCAACAGTAAATTCCTTATCTAGCATGCGTGAGACCTTGGGTTTAACCCTCAACATACACACACAATTTCTAATAGAACAATTGCCATTCCCTCAGCCATTCTCAGATCTTAATTCAGCTTCTGTCTCAGCATCTGGAATTACTTCAGCAAATGAATCCTTCTAAGGCAACAGGAAGACACCTCAAACTAAATTTCCTGAGCAGCAACTTTGCACTTTGCTAGGGCGGCAAGGAATGCAAGTAGAGAATGTGGTTATTCACATATAAATTACTAAAAACATATAAAATAACAATTCAAAAGATAGCCAAAGGCGGGACTGCTACATCAAACAGTGCCTTGACCACGTTTTGCAAATACCTGACGAAAATTACAAACTGGCCCATGCCTTGGTGACTAGGAACTCTGTTGTCATGTTCTTGAACCGTACTGGAGTCAGGAATGACTTTCTCAAGAGGATTTAAGGCCAAATCTCAGGAGGGACGTGAGCTCCCCATAAAGATTAGAAGGAGTCTAGAAATCTTTCTTTTTCTTCATTCATTCATTCAACCAGTGTTACGTTGTACCAAATATTATCTGTACTAGACAGTGAAAGTTCCAGGGCCGTTTCTCCTGAAGCTTTTGCTCTGATAACTATGCATTCCACCGAACTATACGAGAATTCATTTAAAGTCTCTGAAACAAACCTAAAAAAAAAGCCCGTCATACAGTTCATGAACCGGGCAAGGGGCTAGAGATTGAAACACAAAAAGACTCACAGAGACAGAGACACAGGTCATCCTTGAAACAGGAATGCCCCCCAAGAATGCCCCCTTTATTGTGTCCAGGGGCAGCTTAGACAGGGACAGCCACGCCCCAGGCAAACGCACCAGAAACCATTCCCCGGCCATCAGGAACTCCTGAGGGTCTCATGCTCAGAGCAACTGTAGGCACTCAGATAGGGAAAAACAAGTTGTTTACGAGAAATTCTGGATCTTGGAGGTTCGCAGCTCCCAACAGACAAGGAGACCCATGTCATTTTTCACGTGGACCTGGAACCCCCAGTATCTCATACTCAAGGTCACATTGTGACAGGCGTGGACTAGACGCCCCCCAGTCCCCCGCGACTCCAGTAAGTGCTCCCCGCGCTCTTCTCCCAGAGAGTGATCCTCATCGCATAAAGATCCGAGGTCACTACCTTCTAAAAAAAAAGCGGAGAAGCCAAGGCCAAATGAGGGAAAGAAGAGTGGGAAACTGTGGAAAGGCGGCCACGCAACCGAGCTGTGGCACAGACTCCCCCACTTCTCCCCTGCTCTCCCGCCCCGCCCTCTCCAATCCCAACCTGGAGACGGGTGAGCGTCTATATAAAAGTATTCCTGCACTCACAAGGGCTCGCACCAGCAACGCCATGTTCCCCCGCGATCATTTCCGGGTGAAGGGTGGGCTTCCGGAATCCCGGTTGTCACCACCCCCTCAGGACGCTGCCCTCTTGCTAAAGGTAGTCGGGCGCCCGCAGCGCAGGCGTAGACGTCGCACTGCGCACCCGCGGTTTTCCCGCCCTGGATCTGAATGGGTTCCAGGGCGCGCGTCTCCTCGCGGGTCTTATGTCCCGGCTGTGCGTCACAAGGGTTCAAGTTCTTCCCCCACACCGCCTCCTGGACCCCGGCCCCACATCCCACTCACCCTTCGGTAACCCCTTGACAGCCCTTCCTTCCCTGACTCCACCCTCAGGAGACGACCAGGCTGCAGGGGACAGGACCTCGGGCGTCCCAGTAGTTTAAAAAAGCCCAGAAGTCTGAGAACCTAAGAGCACAGTCCTGGTAAGCCTGGAAAGGAGGTTGTCACTTGCCAGACCTGACGCCAGGCAGAAGAGGGACTTGGGGCTCGTGGTTGGCTAATTAAAAGGAGCGTCTTTGAATATTGATAGGAAAAAATTAGTGAAAGAATAGCCTGGCGGTGATGGCCCACGCCTTTTATTCTAGCACTCGGGAGGCAGAGGCTAGCGGATCTCTTGAGTTCAGGGCCAGCCTGGTCCTCATTGGGGCTACTCAGAGAAACCCTGTCTGGGGCGTGGAGGCAGAATTAGTAAATGAATAGACCCGGAGGCGAAGAGCTAGCGGTTCAAGCACTTCCTCTCCACTCTGTCAATATAGAGCCACTGAGTGTTCCGTATGTACTGGACACCGTCCCGTGCCTGGTAACGCTGTGGCTCTCATGAGCTGGTGGGGGAAAGTACGGGTAGGTTTGTCCAGGCAACTCCTAAGAAAAATAAAAACTGATAAATAGCTAGTAAAAACAATAATACGTGCAACTACTTGCCCTACTTCGCCAGGAAAAGCCTATCTGAGGAAGTGACATAGAAAATGGGATTCGGGATGATACTTTTTTTTCTTTTAAACAAAATTTCTTGTAGCCCAGGCTGACCTCAGGCTCTCTATACCGGAGGCTGGCCTTGAAGTCCTGACCCTCCCCTGCCTCTGCCTCCCAAGTGCTAGGATTACAGGCTATGAATGACACTGTGCCCAGCCGGCAAATTTGCTTTGGTTTTTGGAGCAGGTCTCACTATGTAGCTGTGGCAAGCCTGGAACTCACTGAGAACCAACTACCCCTGCCTCCCGACTGCCTCCACATCTGGCAAAATTCTGTATATTTATCAAGTTTGTTTTTAAATGTTTACATGCAGAATGACTAAATTAAGTTTATGACAGGGCAATACAAAGCAAAGTTTCCTCCATCTTGTTTTCAGTCTTTTTGTTTTTTGAGACAGGGTTTCTCTGTGTGACAGCCCTCCCTGTCCTGGAACTCACTTTGTAGACCAAACTGGCCTGCAACACACAGAGATATGCCTTCCTCTACCTCCCAAGTGTTGGGAGTAAAGGCCTAAGCCACCACTCCCTGCAATCCATCTTGTATTCTTGCTGAGACCATTTCAGGTTTAACTATAATTTGATCTCCTAGGACTGTACAGTAAATGCTTTATATGCACTAAACTATCTTACTGGCCTCACTATATTGTTTGTTTGTTTTTTGAGTCAGGGTCTCTCTGTGTAGCCCTGGCTCTCCTAAAATTGTCTATGTAAACCAGGCTGTTCTCAAACTCACAGAGATCCTTCTGCCATTGCCTCCCTGGTGCTGGGATTAAAGGTATGCACCATTACTACCAAGTCTCTCTCTCTCTCTCTTTCTCTCTTTCTTAGATTCATTTATTTATTATGTACGTAATTGTCTGTATGCATGTTTACCTGCAAGCCAGAAGAAGGTATCAAATCTCATTATAGATGGTTGTGAACCACCATATCGTTGCTGAGAATTAAACTCAGGACCTCTGGAAGAACAATCAATGCTCTTAACCTCTGAGCCATCTCTCCAGCCCTGAACCTGAAGGTTACTAATTTGGCTAGACTGGCTGGCTAAAATGCTCCAGTGGAGACTGTGTATGATTGGTTTTCACATGGATGCTCGAGTCCAAACTCGGGTCTGTGCTAACTCCCCAGCCACCTTACCCAGGCCATTCTTCCAGGTCTTCTGTATGTATAGATATATTTTTTCTCTTAGAAAATGTACCAGTTTTCCTTAGTTATGATAAAAGATAAAGTAGATATAAATATTAATTCTTATATTAATAAGAATAATAATAATAAGTAATTCTTGCTTGATACCTGTTTTGTTATATATAATTTTACTATGTTAAAGTGAAAACCTTTTTTATTTAAACAGAAAAGGGGAAATGGTGTGGGAGGTCCTTCTGTATATGTATTGCTTTTATTGGTTAATGAATAAAGAAACTGGCTTGGCCTGATAGGGCAGAGTAGAGATAGGTGGGAAAACTAAAGTGAATGCTGGGAGAAGGAAGGCGGAGTGAATTGCTGCCAGAAACAGAATGCCAGAACCTTGCCAGTAGACCACGAGCCTTGTGCTAAAATATAAAATAATGGAAATGGGTTAAATTAATATGTAACAGCTAACCAATAAGAAGTTAGAGCTAATAGGCTAAGCAGTGATTTAATTAATACAGTATCTGTATTTTGGAAGTCTGCGTGACCGGGAAACAAACAAGCAACCTCTCCTACAACAAAAGTCTTACAGATTCAACACAATGCCCATCAAAATCCCAGCAAAATTCTTCACAGAGCTCAAAAGAATGGTACTCAACTTTATATGGAAAAGTAAAAAACTCAGGATAGCTAAAATAATCCTGTATAATAACAGAACTCTGGAAGTATCACAATCCCTGACTTCAAACTCTACTACAGAGCTAAAGTACTGAAAACAGCCTGGTACTGGCATAAGAACAGACAGGAGGACCGATGGAACCAAATAGAAGACCCGGATATCAATCACTCATCTTCAAACACCTTATTTTTGACAAGGAAGCAAAAAATATCAAATGGAAAAGAGAAAGCATATTTAACAAGTGGTGCTGGCATAACTGGATATCATCAACATGCAGAAGAATGAAAATAGACCCATATCTATCACCATGCACAAAACTCAAGTCCAAATGGATCAAAGACCTCAACATAAAGCCAGTCACACTGAACCTTATAGAAGAGAAAGTAGGAAGTACACTTGAATGCATTGGCACAGGAGACCACTTCCTAAATAGAACCCCAGCAGCACAGACACTAAGAGAAACAATAAATGGGACCTTCTGAAACTGAAAAGCTTCTGTAAAGCAAAGGACATGGTCAACAAGACAAAAAACAGCCTACAGAATAGGAAAAGATCTTCACTAACCCCACATCAGACAGAGGTCTGATCTCCAAAATATACAAAGAACTCAAGAAATTGGACACCAAAAGATCACATAATCCAATAAAAAAATGGAGTACAGACCTAAACAGAGAACTCTCAGCAGAGGAATCTAAAATGGCTGAAAGACACTTAAGGAAATGTTCAACATCCTTAGTTGTCAGAGAAATGCAAATCAAAACAACTCTGAGATTCCATCTTAACACCTGTAAGAATGGCCAAGATCAAAAACACTGATGACAACTTATGCTGGAAAGGTTGTGCGGAAAAGCGAACACTCCTGCATTGCTGGTGGGAATGTTAAGTTGGTACAACCCCTTTGGATGTCAGTGTGGTGATTTCTCAGAAAATTAGGAAACAACCTTTCTCAAGACCCAATAATACCACTTTGGGGTATATATCCAAAGGATGCACAATTGTGCCACAAAGACATGTGCTCAACCATGTTCATAGCAGCTTTGTTTGTCATAGCCAGAACCTGGAAACAACCTAAATGCCCCTTGACCGAAGAATGGATAAGGAAAATGTGGTATATTTACACAATGGAGTATACACAGCAGAAAAAAATAATGACAGCTTGAATTTTGCAGGAAAATGGATGGAGCTAGAAAACATTATTTTGAGTGAGGTATCCCAGACACAGAAAGACAATTATCACATGTACTCACTCACAGGTGGTTTTTAAACATAAAGCAAAGAAAACCAGCCTACAAACCACAAACCCAGAGAATTTAGACAACAATGCGGACACTAAGAGAGACTTACATAGATCTAATCTACAAGGAAAGTAGAAAGTAGAAAAAGACAATATCTCCTGAGTAAATTGGGAGCATGGAGATCTTGAGGGAGGGTTGAACAGGGGAGGGGAAAGGCAAGGAGGGGAGCAGAGAAAAATGTAGAGCTCAAAAATCAATAAAACAAAACAAAACCTCAAAGGTCTCTAAAACAAAACCAGGTATAGTGACATATAATAGATAATGAGCACTTTTTTTGTCCACTTTTATTTTTTCTTTTTCTTGCAGGGTTAGGGTACAATCCCAGAGTCTTGCACATGCTAGACAAGCCAGTATACCTCTGAACTATGAACTGTCCCAGTCCTGAAGTTCTTATATCATACTTGTTATAGCATTCAGGAAGCCATATTACATTCCATCAATTCCATAGCCTTCACAGCCACCTACAATGTCGTGTTCTTCCCATCTGAAGTTGGTGAAACCACGTTTTTCATATCCCATACTTACTGATGGAGTTGGTATCATGGATTTAAATGGATAGAGCGTTTCTTACTTTTCTATTTCATCTACTCTCTTCAAGCCTTCCTTATCCCAACATGATTTAGGTTCTTTGTTTTCTTTTTCACTCATGCATGAACCTTAAGAACATTATAAGTATGAAACTTCCCATAAAGAGTTAAATACAGGAACCTGGCACATGGAAAGCCTTTGATAAACACATGCAATACTTCTATCATTATCCTAGCAATCAGTATAGCGTCTGTGCCTGATTAGACCTTTGGCAACTGTTCATTAGTCAATGAATGAATGACTAGATCAAAGAGTCATTCATTGATGAAATTGCTTAGTACCCTCATATTCTGAATGTAAGGGTTTATAATTTTTCAAGACCTTTACATTTATATATTGGTTTTTCAAGATAGGATTTTTCTGTGCAACAGTCCTAGCTGTCCTGGAACTCACTTTGTAAATTAGGCTGACCTCAAATTCACAGAGATCTGCCTGCCTCTGCCTTCCAAGTGCTAGGACTAA